TCTTTTAATAGGAGAGTTCACTTTTAAAAACATGGTAATACTCCTTGTCCTAAAGTTGTCTTTGTTTTATTGTAATATAGTCACTCCAGTATTCTTACTGTTAATGTTTGCATGATGTGGTGTTTTTTTCTATCCTTTTACTTTTAAACTATTTCTTAACATTTAAAGTGCATCTGTTTTAAAGACGGCACGTCCAGTGTCACAGTCTCTTTCTTTTAATTGGAATGTTCACACTGAATGTAACTTCTGGCGTAATTAGGGCTCACTCTTCCATTTTACTCTTTGTTCTTTTTCCCCCCACCTTATTTTCTCATTTTCTTACTTCTTTTGGATTAGTTTAATAATTTTTAGTATTGTGTTTTGTGCACTCATTTGGATTACTAGATTTACCATTTAAAAAAAAAAAAGTGGTTGGCTGAACATGGTAGCTCATGCCTGTAATCTCAGCACTTTGGGAGGCTGAGGTGGGCAGATCACCTGAGGTCAGGAGTTTGAGACCAGCCTGGCCAACGTGGTGAAACCCTGTCTCTACTAAAAACATAAAAATTAGCTGGGCGTGTTGGCAGGCGCCTGTAATCCCAGCTACTCGGGAGGCTAAGGTAGGAGAATTGCTTGAGCCCAGGAGGCAGAGGTTGCAGTGAGCCAAGGTCATGCCATTGCACTCCAGCCTGGGGACAAGAGCGAGACTTAGTCTCAAAAGAAAAAAAAAAAGTGGTTGATCTGGGGGTCTGTTAGATTGGTACAAAAGTAATTGCAGTTTTTGCAATTACTTTTAATATCTTTAACATCACCGTTTACTATCGAATAATATACCATGTTACTTGCAATATAAAAACCTTATAACTGTGTATTTTCATTTTCCCCAACATTTTTGCTATTGTTGTTTTATGTCTTATACATATATATATATTTTAAATTTGAAATAATTACAGATTCACAGGAAGTTGCAAGAATAGTACATAGATTCCCATGTACCCTTCACTCAGATTCCTCCAAAGATGACATCTTCTATAACTGTGGTGTAATATCAAAGCCAGAAATTTAACATCAGGTACAGTGCTAACCAAACTGCAGACCTTATTCACTTGTGCCGTTTTTTACATGCATGCAGTTATGTGTGTGGGTGTGTAGGTCCGTGCAAAGATCCTGCAACCACCACCACAGCCAAGATACGGAACTGGTTTGTTAGCACTCCCTCCATGTGCCCCTATGTCCTGGCAATCTTTCTTCCCCCCATTCCTGTCCTCTGGCAACTGTTAGTCTGTTTTTCATCTCTATGTTCTTGTTCATTTGAGAATGTTACATAAATAGCAGCATACAGTATGTAACCAATATGTAACGTTTGGAGATTATGCGTATGTTTTAAACCCTATAATACATGATTTTAACACTTTTAAATTGGGGTTGGCACACTTTTTCTGTGAAGGGTCAGATAATAATAAATATTGTAGGTTTTGAGGGCTCCCTCCACAGTCCCTGTCACAACTACCCAATCCTGCTATTGTAGTGCAAGAACAACCAGAGACAACATGTGCAGGAATGAGTGTGGCTGTGTGCCAGGAAGCCTTTATTCAATGTTCCCATGTGACAGAACTTGAATTTTATTTTATTGATTGATTTATTTTTTAGAGACAGCGTCTCACTCTGTTGCCCAGGCTGGAGTGCAGTGGCACCATCACAGTTCACTTCAGCCTTCAGCTCCAAGGCTGAAGGGGTCCTCTTGCCTCAGCCTCTTGAGTAACTGAGATGACAGTCATGCGCCACCACACCCAGCTAATTAAAAAAAATTTTTTTTTGAAGAGATAGGATCTCGCTGTGTTACCTAGGCTGGTCTCAAACTCCTGACCTCAAGCGCTCCTCCCACCTCAACATCCCAAAGTGTTGGGATTACAGATGCAAGTTACCGCACCAGGCCAAAACTTGAATTTTAGAGAGTATAATTCTCAGGAGTCACAAAATATTCTTAAAAACATTTTTTTCCAACCATTAAAAAAATATGAAAAACATTATTAGTTTTCAGACTGTATAAAAGCAGGCAGATTTGACCCATGAGCTGGTAGTTTGCCAATCCCCACTTTAAATTATAGGCTTTATACACACTGCACACACAGGCTGCTCTCGTGAGTCCATGGGTGAGTGGGGAGTGAGTGGGAAGCCGGGACATGACCGTACACTGCTGTAGGCTTTATACACACTGCACACACAGGCTGCTTTGGTGAGGCTGGTGAGCGAGTGGGGAGTGAATGGGAAGCGAGGACATGATCGTACACCGCTGTAGGCTTTATACACACTGCACACACGGGCTGCTCTGATGAGTCCGCTGGGTGAGCGAATGGAGAGTGAATGGGAAGGCCAGGACATGATTGTACACCGCTGTAGGCTTTATACACACTGCACACACGGCTGCTCCAGTGACTCCAGTGAGTGAGTGGAGAGTGAATGGGAAGGCCAGGACACGACCGTACACTGCTGTAGGTTTTATACATACTGCACACTTAGGGCTATCATACATTCATAAAAAATATTTCTTTCCTCAACAATAAATTAACCTTACTCTAACTTTTTTACTTTATAAACTTAAATTTATTTAACTTTTTGACTCTTTTGTAATTAACACCTAACTTAAAATACAAATACATTATACAACTGGACAAAAAATTCTTTACGTCATTGTATAAGCCTTTTTCTATTGGAAAATTTTTTAACTCTACCTCCTGAATTCATACTTTAGAAATTTTTAATTTTTTTAAACTTCTTTGTTAAAAACTCAGACACAAGCACACAAAGTTAGTCTAGGACTCCACGGGGTCAGGATCATCAAGGCATCACCAGGAATGTGTATGCAGTCCGCCACTAACCGGATTATTGTTATGCCCTGCGGGGCTGTGTTTCATCTTTGTTTGGGGGGTACAGTTTTGCTGCATACAGAGTTTTAGGTAGTTCTATATTTTCTCCTGGCTTGTGTACTTTCTTATGAGACAACAAGGCTCATCTTTATCATTGTTCCCCATGTGTATCATGGCTTTTTTTCCTCTGGCTGTCTTTACAATTCCTCTCCTGTTTGCTGGATTTTAAGTAAGGTTCACTCTGCTCCCTTCATGGGATTCTTGAGCTTCCTAAATCTATGGGTTGATATTTCCTATCAAATTTGGAAGAGATGAGCATTTTTAAAATAAGATTTTGTCTTTCTCAGTCTCTTGCCTCTCCCTCTGGGCCATTTATTGACTTCCTCCCACAGGGTCCACACAGTTTTGCTTACTTTCACGTCTAGCGTTTTTTGATTGGATGCTAGAACATTTTGGATACTAAGAAGAGTGTTGAGTTTTGTTCTGTCAGGCAGTTGCTCTGCCTGCTCCTTCCGAGACTTACCTTTAAACTTTATTAGGCTGTGTCCGTTGTGGCTTTCACTTTACGCTAGCACAGGCCTACTCCTAAGACAGGGCCTCCCGGGCTGTCACCAGAGTGCCCGAGGTGTAGGACGAGGCCTCTTCATGTTTGCTGGTGGTGGACACTCCGCTGTCTTCAAGCCCTGTGCAAGCTCCATTGGTTGGTCAGCCCCAGGACCTTGCCTGGCTTCTCTGAGTCTTACCCTAAACCTGACAGCTCTCTCTTCAGCCGGAGGCTAAAGAGCACTTGGGTCTGCACGCTGCCCTGCTCTCTGGTGCTCTGTCCTGCAGATCGTGGCCTCAGCAGTCTTGATCTCCAGTCTCTGTGTCCTCATGTGAGGACTACCTCCCTCACTAGGATACAATCTGGACAGTGCCTGTGGGCAGAAAATTGGCGTGATAGAGGGTTGTTTCCCTTCTGCCTGGGATAACAGTCTGGCCCCGCCCATCGTCCATCACATGAATGCAGTCACTAGAACCCTTTCTTCAGTTCTGGTGTTGACGGCAGGAAGGCAGGTTGGTGGCTCTGCCCATTCGCAAGCGCCCACCACCACGGTCCCCTGCCCAGTGGCTCCATCACAGCCACCGCCACGGTCCCCTGCTCAGTGGCTCCATCACAGCCACCGCCACGGTCCCCTGCTCAGCAACTCTCCTTCATCACCGCCACTGCCACAGTCCTGTGGCATCACAGGTGCTGATAATGCCGAGTGCAAAGTCCAGTGCTGGAGTGATTCATGTTCCTTTTTTGCTGACTCTTTTTTTCTTAGAAGGTTTTGAGATGTTCTCTTTATCCTGTGTTTAGCAAATCTCTGTTGTCTCAGTTCTCTCCTAGAACTGCTGTGAAATGCAGGTGGGGCTCCCTGGATTGATACTCTCTTTCTTCATCTTTGATTCCTGTTTTTGTCTTTTTCTTCTACTTTAAGGGAACATCTCTCCACTTCATTTCTCAGCTCTTTTATAGAAAAGTGCCCCCTCTTCTTCTCTTCATCAAGGCCTGCTTCCCCCAGCCCTGGATCCAGCCCACCGCCTCTCTCTGCCCCACATCGAAGCCCTCTGCCCAACTTGACCAGCTGTCTGACTGATGATCACATTTGTGCTGGAATGTCTGGCATCTGGGGACACCACCTCTTCTTCCCTTCCCCCGTAAGCACCTGCTCTCTGCTGACCTCCTCCCTTTAGAGTTCCTCAGCTACACCCACTGTCTTCTTTACCTGGTCTTGCTTTAAAGAACTGTATCGTGTTGACTGTCAAATTCCAGTAGTTTTCTTTAAGTGTTTTCTGGAACAGTATGCGGGGGGTAGGGAGGAAGGACATCGTAGGAGTCATTAACATGGTAAACTCTCTCTCCCATATTATTGTTTACTTACCCAGATTATCTTGAGGATTTTGTCGGTTCCACAGAGTATGGTTCTTGATGGAATGAACACATTACCTTCAGATTGGAGAATAAGAAATTAATTGTTGGATAACTAAGGTTACTTAGTCACCTTGGATTTGAGAGCTCACCTATTTATGGACTTTGAATTGGCCACCTGGGCAGAGCTGGGTCTGTGACACTGTGAGCTTGGCGACGCGTGCTCTTGCACATCTACTGACCCAACTCTTTTTCTTCAGATGTTGCCAGCACCTGCCCGGCTGTCAAGGAGTGGTTTGTATATCCTGGGAACCCACTGAGGCACCCGGACCTCGTCAGGCCACTGCAGATGACTGTTCCAGGTACAGACAGCCTTTCTTTAAATGAACCACAGATCTTTCCATTCTATGATAAAAGTCTAAGAATGGATCAGTTATGGAAAGCATCTTTTACCAGAACTGCACAAATACTAGTTTTTATTTAAACTCTTGGCTCATGATTAATGTATTCATCTAATAAAGTCCTAAAATAATGGAAGGAAGATGCTGTGGCAGGTTTACCCTGGACCATCTGCGGCGGTGCTCTGCCTCTTTCTCCACCACCCTGGTCCAGGTCCACAGCAGTGGGGAGAGAAAAGAGACAGAAGGATGGCCGTGGTCAGGGCATGTTGCTGCCACAGCCCCAGTGCCTGACATCTAGTTATTGCTTGGTAGACGTCCATGGAGTTTAGCAGGATAGATTCTTGATATTCTGCTGGAATCAACAATCTTATCTTTTCCTCACCACTGAAAGTATATTTTGATGAGTTCTGGAACCAGAAAGAGAAGATAAAGGAGGGTTATTTTAACGGGAAAAAAGGTTGTATTTTCATGAGTAGTATCTTAAAACTTAATGAGAGGTAAGGAAAAACAAAGTTCACCTACAGATTAGCTGAAGCATATCCAAAGAACAGCCTTTCTTTCTGTGAGTTCGTGGTATCTGAAACAGGTCAGGAATGTAGAAGTGTCAGGGTAGAGTTCTACATACAAACAGTTAAGGAAGAGGAGGCGAAGCTTCAGAGTTTATTTTTAGTGGCTCACATCATTGTTTCACAAAACAAATATTTTCCTACAGTTTTGCTATTCCATTTTCATATACATTGAATTCTCTGATGTTGGTATTATTCTCCATCACATGAACCTGTAATTTACCAAGTATGGATCTGAGCACTATAAATGGTTTTTAAATAAATGGAATTGTATTGAGAGAGAAGTTGAGAAAAGCTGTTGTAGGGAGTGTTCCTTATTCTGTTAATCAATCAATTTTAGACTAAAACCTTAAAAGTATTTATCACAGAAACGTAATTAAAATGCATTGACATTTGTTTTTATGTTAAGCAGCATTTTTTAAAGGATAGCCAAAATAATTTTCCAAAAATGTTTTATTATATATGTAATTTTCATCTTATAGTATCTTTCCAAATATAATATGGAAAATGACTATTACATCTCTCTTCATTGTTTGAATTAAAGAGAACATTTGACGATTCGTCCTTGTGTCAAGAGTTAATTTTAAAGGCCACTCTATGTAATGTTTTAATAAATTCCAGAAATTGTGTATTAGAGAGACTACTTCAGAGCTTGTGAAAACATCCTCTGTTGCACTCCAGGAGTGGGAAAGCGTGTGTGTAGCACCGTGGACCACACGTTGGGTTCTCTTCTGGAAGGAACTCCAGAAGCCTGTGCCCTACACGGAGGGCCACGTCTCAGACACACTCTTTTTCACAGCTGTTACTCTAGAAATTGGATTTGAACTTTTACACGGAGGGCCACATCTCAGACACACTCTTTTTCACAGCTGTTACTCTAGAAATTGGATTTGAACCTTTACACGGAGGGCCACGTCTCAGACCTGTCTCTTATACACATCTAGATGTGTATAAGAGACAGCTCTAGAAATTGGATTTGAACTTTTACACGGAGGGCCACGTCTCAAACACACTGGTTTCCACAACTATTACTGAATTTTTATTCCAGGTTATTTCAATGGATGACTCTTTATTTACACTTGCATTAGCGATAATTAAAAAGAGAATATTTTAAATTTAAAATGCTTTTCAGTATCTATGAGGAATATTGCCAAATGATTTTAAACGAAAATGGAAAACAGAGCATCCAATTTCCTGTCACAAGTATATTCACAGAATACAGCATACGATTAAAACCAGTGAGATCAGCCGGGCGGGGTGGGGGTCACGCCTGTAATCCCAGCACTTTGGGAGGCCATGGCAGGTGGGTCACCTGAGGTCAGGAGTTTGAGACCAGCCTGGCCAATATGGTGAAACCCCGTCTCTACTAAAAATACAAAAATTAGCCGGGTGTGGTGGCAGGCACCTGTAATCTCAACTACTCAGGAGGCTGAGGTAGGAGAATTGCTGGAACCCTGGAGGCGGAGGTTGCAGTGAGCTGAGATCACGCCATTGCACTCCGGCCCAGGCGACAACAGCAAGACTCCGTCTCAAAAAAAAAAGCGAGATCCTGCCGATGGGCCCTCCCCTTCCACCTGTCAGGAAAACCTGCAAAAGGTTCTTGTCGCACCATTAGAGCCGGTTTTTCCCGAATGACACCCATACCTGATTTTCGTCGTTCTTCTAAGACAGTTTTAATTAGGGTAATCTCATGAGTGCTGCATTTTCAGTGAGTTTTTCAATATAGTGGCCCATGTTCTTTTTCTTTTTTAAAGGCTTTTTCCTCTGACAGCACGTGTGATTTAATGTCTGCTTTCCTGAATTGTAGAAATAAAAGGAAATCACAAGTATTTTTCAACAAAGTGGAAGTGCAGGAAAAAACGATAAAAATTAGTGAAAAATTAGGAAGGGGAAATAATCAAAATTAACCAGCCAGGGAGCAGAAAAAGAAATCTCATTCCTGGGTGCTATGGTTTGAATGTTTGTAACCCCCGCCCCCCCCCCGCCCCCTGCCAAATTCCTGTGTTGAAAACTTAATCACTAATGTGATGGTATTTGGAGGTGGGCCTTTGGGAGGGAAAGAGGTGATTAGATGCAATTCCTGCCCTTATAAAAGAGGCCCCTTGTTTGGTGTGAAGGTGCCATGTGCTGTCTGTGAACCAGGAAGCAGGGCCTCACCAGAAATTAACCATGCTGGCACCTTGATCTTGGACTTCCAGCCTCCAGAAATTTTCTGCTGTTATAAGCTACCTCATTTATGGTGTTTTGCCGTAGCATCTCAGATGGACCAAGACACTGGTTTGTTTTATTCGGGGAGCTTATATACATGTGTGTAATTCTGTGGGCCTCACCTTTTTTTTTTTTTTTTTTTTTTGAGACAGAGTCTCGCTCTGTTGCCCAGACTGGAGTGCAGTGGCACAATCTCAGCTCACTGCAACCTCTGCGTCCTGAGTAGCTGGGACTACAGGCACATGCCACCACACCCTGATTTTTGTATTTTTAGTAGAAACTGGGGTTTTGCTTTGTTGGCCAGGCTGGTGTCAAATTCCTGGCCTCAAGTGATCCATCCGCTTCTGCCTCCCAAAATGTTGGGGTTACAGGTGTGAGCCACTGCCCAGCGTATGAGCCCCATCTTTATATGTATGCGTGTGGGAGCATGTCTACAGGACATATATATACTACACTTCCTTTATATGTGTGCGTGTGGGAGCCTGTCTACAGGACATATATACTACACTTCCTTTCTATGTGTGCGTGTGGGAGCATGTCTACAGGATGTGTATACTACACTTCCTTTATATGTGTGCGTGTGGGAGCCTGTCTACAGGACGTATATACTACACTTCCTTTCCGTGTGTGCGTGTGGGAGCATGTCTACAGGACGTATATACTACACTTCCTTTCCGAGTGTGCGTGTGGGAGCATGTCTACAGGACGTATATACTACACTTCCTTTCCATGTGTGCGTGTGGGAGCATGTCTACAGGATACTACATTTCATTTCCTTTACAATATATCATGGAAGATGATGTTTCTGATAACGCAGTTCAGCTTCCATTTCCCAAACCCAGCTCGTGAAGGTCCTTGATCTGTGCATGTGTGTCTACCCTTTCCCAGCACACTGCTCTCACTCCTCTTACTCACTTTCCTGACATTCTCCATTCTTTGGGTGGGAGTCTTGGCCCATACCAAAGGCAAGCGTTTGAAATTGCCTTTTCAGTCTCCAGAATTGTAGATTTGTCAATTCTTCATTTTCAAAGTGCTGGTAGCTTTTTTTCTCTTGTAAGTGTCATTGTTTAAGTTACTTTAAGCATATCCTTATTTTAGAAACCTAGGAAAACTAATGCACACATCTAATTGGTAATTTGTCTATCTTGAAGGACCTTTTTAAAGTGGTGTTCAACAATCAGAAAGCTTAGTATTTCTTGGTTATACACATTTGATTTACCAGAATTGCAGAATATCTTAGAAGACTATTTTACAAAATGAAATGAGGGTAAGTCATGCATTTCATGAAAAAAAAGACCACGTATTTGATTCAGTCTGTCATTTGCTATCAAACAGTTGCAGTGGCTTTCTTGTTCACCTCCTCTTACATACATTGTTGAAGGTTTTCATCTGACCCTTGTTGCATACAGGTCAGTCAAGAAAGTCTCAACAAGTCTTGGAGGCTTCTGTGAGTGGTAAAAGGAAGCTGGGGTGTGTGTGTGTGTGTGCACATGCACTTAAGGAAGCTGGGGTGTGTGTGTGCGCGCACATGCACTTAAGAAAGCTGGGGGTGTGTGTGTGTGTGTGTGTGTGTGTGCACATGCACTTAAGAAAGCTGGTGTGTGGGTGTACCTGTGCCTGGCCTTGGTGGGGGCTCTGCTTATGTGGCTGCCAGTGTCTGAAACCACCCCGACCATCGCAGATCAACATAAATCGGTTAAAATCTCAAAAGTGGTTTTTCACCAACTTGTAAAAAATAGTGTGAAGCTTTGTCAAATGTGTTAACAAATTCACATTAGAGTCACAAGGGTTAAATTTTGCATTTACTACTTTTTATAGCCACTTTCACTGTTGAATGCATCAGATGGGAGTGGTGTAATGATGTCATTTTTGCAAGCGTGAAATTAGAATACTTATCCGTATAAGTATAGAGTTTGATGGATTGAGATGGAAATGTATTCTGTTTATATATGAATGAATTTTTTTGCTTATTATAAATAGGCTTTGGAAGTTGCTCATCTAAAGATTCACTTTGCATGTGCGTAGTCAGGGTTTTTTGAGTATTTTTGTTTTTTTTTAAAATTTGAGTTCTGGGATACATGTGCAGAACTTGTAGGATTGTTACAGAGGTATACATGTGCCATAGTGGCTTGCTGCAACTATCAGCCCATCATCTAGGTTTTAAGCCCCTTATGCATTAGGTATTTGTCCTAATGCTCTCCCTCCCCTTGCCCCCGACCCCCCAGCAGGACCCGCTGTGTGTTATTCCCCTCCCTGTGTCCATGTGCTCTCATTGTTCAACTTCCACTTACGAGTGAGAACATGCGGTGTTTGGTTTTCTGTTCTTGTGTGAGTTAGCTGAGAATTAGGGTTTCCAGCTTCATCCGTGTCCCTGCAAAGGACATGAACTCATTCTTTTTTATGGCTGCATAGTATTCTGTGGTGTATATGTGCCACCTTTTGTTTATCCAGTCTATCATTGATGGGCATTTGTTTTGGTTCCAAGTCTTTGTTATTGTGAATAGTGCCGCAGTAAACATATATGTGCATGTGTCTTTATGGTAGAAAGATTTATACCTCTGGGTATATACCTAGTAATGGGATTGCTGGGTCAAATGGTATTTCTGTGTCTAGACTCTTGAGGAATTGCTGCGCTGTATTCCACAGTCCCGAGGCTGCACACGTTGCCTGAGTTGATTATCCTCCTGAAAGTATGTTTCTAAGAAGCAATGACTGACACTTGTGATTGTCTCGGACTCATCTCTGAAGTACTACTGCCATAGGGTTGTTTTGTGTTGGCTAATTATCTTTAGCGTTTTCTTTCTCTTTAGAGAAAAAAAGCTTATCAGGTGGAGGGAATACTTCAGCCATTTTGGAATTCAAGTGAGTTTTGTTGAGTTGTTTCACTTCTGATGGCGGGAAATATACCCCTGAGGGTAATCACTGCCATCGTGGGAAACGTAAGAAAAGAAAGAGAAGAATTTCCTTTTTTAGGTCATTTGACTCTGAAGCCATTTGGTTAGTAGGTTCTGTTTCCTTAGTAAACAAAAGGGACATTTAGATCCCAGCCAGCTTTGAGCTTTTGGCATATATTTTATTGTCAAGTGGCCCTCACAGAAAATCACAGCTGTGGATAGCAAGGGAGGCCATCTCGCCAGTCACAGATGAACAAGTCTGACCTTAGGAACGGCACCTTTCTGTTTGTCAGTGTGGAAGCAGAGCTGCACCTGCATCTGCAACTCTGCGTAAGTCGTCATCATTTGTCATGGCTTAAGTAAATGAGTAAGGGCTTTTTTCTTTTGATTTTAATAATTTAAACGTATATATAAAATATAGAAGTGAAACACTAAAAATTACATTTTAGGAATTTCTGTTTGTTTAATAGTTTTAGGAAAGTGCTTTCCAAAGCCTGGGGTTCACAGATTGCCTGCAAGTCTTCTGGGTTGTGAAAATGCAGACTTCCAGGCACCCATACCTGTCAAATCAAATCAGAGTTTCTGCATATAGATCCCAGGAAAATGCATTTTTAAAAATAATCTCTACAGTTGATTCTTTTCCACATGAAGGGTTGAAAACCATTAATTTAGGAGAGTAAGAGAGCAAACTGAAGGGATAAATGGATGGCGTTTCATCCAAGTGCCCCATCAGAGCTGTGATACTGCAGGGCGGCAGTGCCTTGTTGTATCCTTGAGACAGTGCATTTGAAAGATGCTCTGAAAGCATTCTTAACGGTTGGAAGTGCAGTATCCCTCACAATTTAGTCATTAAAAAAAGAAGGAATGTTTTCGTTGAAACGTACGTATACCAGCCCTTTAGGTTTGGGCGTTTAAAAAAACAGGAATCTGATCATGTTTACTTCCTAGTTCGTTTTACATCAGGAAGGGACGAGATTTGTTTCCTTTCACTGTATTTCTACAAGGAGCATATTATAACTGTGCTGCAAAGAACAATAGTTAATGGACTTTTTTTCCTAACTAGGGGGAACGCCTAGTTTGAAAATATTATGGCTGAATCAAGAGCCAGAAATGCAGGTTCGGCGCTTGGACACACTCCTCGCCTGTTTCAACCTTTCCTCCTCAAGAGAAGAACTGCAGGCTGTCGAAAGCCCGTTTCAAGCTTTGTGCTGCCTCTTGATCTACCTCTTTGTGCAGGTAATGTCCAGCTGCCCGTTCTAGTCGCTGTAGCCTGCGCTTACTTTATGAGGGGGAGTGTGTGGAATATTGCCATGGCTGGTGTCCTGGATCGTCTTTTTCCAGTGTCTGTTCCATGGAACATTATTAGTCCTTTGAGGTGCTCTAAAACTAAAAAGAAGATTGTATGGCAAAATACGTACGAGAAACTCTTGTCACTAATACAATGGAGACTTAGAGATTGTATTAGAGACTTAGGAAATCTTGCAGGTGATGGAAGCTGCTTTGGCCTTGACTAAACTTTCTCCAACTTTGTGGACCATAGTGTACCTCCTCTGTCCTCGTGGCATTGTTTGGGTCGTGGTTCTTGTTTCTGGGTTCTAGTGTAAAGGTGAGAAGGGACCAGCTAGAGACCTAGCTTCTCGTAGCTCTTTGCCTCTGGGCAGATTACTTCAGCTTTTTCCTCTGTCAGTTTCATTCCATCATCTAGCAAATGTTTACTGATTATGTGCCTTCATTTTCTAATCTGAAAAGGAGATAATCATAGTAGCTGCTTCCTAGGGCTGTTGGGACGATATCAGCTGGTGGTGTCATGACCTTCATCATTTATGTCCTCCCATCCAGCTGCGCTAGGCATTGTAGTGCTAGAACCTTCGTTTTAGGCTCACTCAACAAGGTGGACTGTTTCTTTTGCATTAGCTTTATACCTAGTTTATATGTGAAAATCATAAAGGTCAGTTAAAAGATTCACCTTTTTAATAGTTTTCTACATGCACAATATTGCTTGGACACCTTTAGTAAGAGAAAGGCTGAGAACGCTCCCATCTCCCAGCCCCTCTTTCTCTGCATCGCTCCCCCCCACCTCCCTCCCTAGCTCTGTGATTTAAGATGATTTTTGTCCCACTGTGGACAAAGTATCTACTTCTTCAGGCTGTCGAGACATCTCATAAGCTTTCTTCACTCCTTCAAGCCATCGTCCTGGCTTCTGTGACCTCCCTATATGGTGGGTCTCCATTGGCATAGCCATTCGGTGTTCCTGGATTAGAAAATTATATAATTCTTTTTTCAAACCTGAATTTACTTTACAAATTATTGATTGTCTTTAAGAGATGTACTCTTATTGTGGAATTACGTCTCAAGGGAATCTTGGACTGATTTTTTCTTTCTAAATGTCCTCTTGGCTCTGCCCATTCTATAGCTTGCTCTACATTTTGCATTTTGTAAGACATAATATGGCTGAGTAGTGCTTAGAGGTTTTATTGCTGCATTATTGGTTTCACATGCACATGCCATGTAAACCTTAGTTTTTGCATTATCATTTTGAGCAGATTACTTCTTTATTTGCTCAAGACATAGAAGATTATAAATTAATATAGTATGGCAGGACTATTTACAATGTAAATGTAAAAAGAGAGGAGATGAATCCAAGATGGCCGATTAGAAAAGCCACGGTCCATAGCTCTCACAGAGAGGAACAAAAAGGGGCAAGTGAATTCAACACTTTCAACTGAAATGCTCAGATTTTCACATTGGGACTGACTAGGCAAACAACACAACCCACAGAGAACAAAGTAAACCAGGGGTGGAGAGCAGGGCCCCACCTGGGAACAGTATGGAGCCAAAGGAACCCCCACCCCCAGCCAGGGGAAGCCATGAATGATTGTGCGACCCTGCCTGGGAAACCATGCTTCTCCCATGGATCTTTGCAACCTGTGTATCAGATCCCTTCATGAGCCCATGCCACCAGGGCCTAGGGTCCAATACACAGAGCTGTTTGGAGTCTCAGCAGAGCAGCCGCTCAGGCATACACAGAGACCCAAGAGTTTTACATACTCCGGCTCTGGGATCCCTGGCAAGACAAGAAATCTGTCCGTACATATCCCTAGGAAAGGGGCTGAATCCAGGGAGCCAAACGGCATCATTCTGCAGGCTCCGCTTCCATGTCACCTCACAATTTAAGACCCACTGGCTTGGAATCCTAGCCAGCCAATGGCAGTGAATTGGAGTCTGCCTTAGATGGGTCCAAGTTCCCAGGAAGAGGGGAGGCCTCAGTTCAGTCAACTCACCTGCTCCAGCCTGCCAGCTTTGGAGAATACAGGCAGTCCAGACGAGGAAGGGACCCCCACCTCTAGTGCAGCACATCAGCTCTACCAAAAAGCAGCCAGATCCCTGATCCTGTTCTCCTGACTGGGTGAGTCCTCCCAATAGGGGTCTCCAGCCACCTCCTACAGGTGGGTGAGGGCCAGCAACAGGTCAGTAACCGCTAGGACGGCGCTTCCAGAGGAAGGAGCTGGCTGCCATCTTTGCTGTTTCACAATGTTCACTGGCTATACCTCCAGGTATGGGAGAAATGAGGCAACTGGCATCTGGAGTGGACCTCCAGCAAACCGCAACAGCCCTATGGTAGAATGGCCTGTTAAAAGAAAAACAGAAAACAACAACATCAACAAAAAAGACCCCACAAAAACCTCATTCAAAGGTTAGGGATAGGGTTAGAGACCTCAAAGACAAAGGTAGATAAGCCTATAAAGATGAGAAAGAATCAATGCAAAGATCCTGAAAACTGAAAAAGCCAGCGTGCCTTTTCTCCTCCGCGTGACTGCAAACACCTCTCCAGCAAGGACACAGAACTATGCTGAGGCTAAAACGCCTGAATTGACAGAAGTAGGCTTCAGAAGGTGGCTAATAATGACTTCGCCAAGCTAAAGGAGCATGTTGTAATCCAATGCAAAGAAGCTAAGAAATGTGATAAAACTACAGGAGCTGATAGCCATAATAGCCGGTTTAGAGAGGAACATAACCAACTTGATGGAGCTGAAAAACACAACACAAGAACTTCACAGTGCAGCCACAAGTATCAGTAGCAGAATAGACCAAGTGGAGGAAAGAATCTCAGAGCTTGAAGACTGTCTTCCTGAATTAAGATAGGCAGACAAGAATAGAGACAAAAGAATGAAAAGGAATAAACAAAACCTCCAAAAAATATGAGATTATGAAGAGACCAAACTTACAACTGACTGGGTACCTGAAAAAGATGGGAGAATGGAACCAAGTTGGAAAACATACTTTAGGATGTCATTCAGGAGAACTTCCTCAACCTAGCGAGATAGGCCAACTTTCAAATTCAGAAAATACAAAGAACCCCAGTAAGATACTGTATGAGAAGATCAACCACAAGACACATAATCATCAGTTTCTCCAGGTTGAAATGAAAGAAAAAATGTTAAGGGCAGCCAGAGGGAAAGGCCAGGTCACCTACAAAGGGAAACCCATCTGACTAACAGCGGACCTCTCAGCAGAAACTCTACAAGCCAAAAGAGATTGAGGGCCAATACTCAACATTATTAAGAATTTCAAACCCGGAATTTTATATTCAACCAAACTAACTTTATAAGTGAAGGAGAAATAAGATCCTTTTCAGACAAGCAAATGCTTAGGGAATTTGTCACCAACAGGCTTGCCTTGCAAGAACTCTTGAAGGAAGCATTAAATATGGAAAGGCAAAACCATTAACAGCCACTACAAAAACACACTGAAGTATGCGGACCAGTGATACTGTGAAGCAACCACATAAACAAGTCTGCAAAATAACCAACTAGCATCATGATAACAGGATCAAATTCACACATAACAATACTAACCCTAAACGTAAATGGGCTAAATGCCCCAGTTAAAAGGCACAGAATGGCAAGCTGGATAAAAAGCCAAGACTCATCCATATGCTGTCTTCAGGAAACCCATCTCATGTGCAAAGACACACATGGGCTCAAAATAAAGGGTTGGAAGAAAATTTACCAAGCAAATGGAAAACAGAAAAAAGTAGAGACCGCAATCCTAGTTTCTGACAAAACAGACTTTAAACCAACAAAGATAAAAAAAGACAAGAGTATTACATAATGCTAGAGGTTTCAATTTAACAAGAAGAGCTAACTATCATATGTATATATGCACCCAGTACAGGAGCACCCAGATTCACAAAGCAAGTTCTTAGAGACCCACAGAGACTCCCACACAATAATAGTGGGAGACTTTAACACCCCACTGACAAATATTAGACAGATCATCAAGACAGAAAATTAATGAAGACATTCGGGACCTGAACTCAGCTCTGGATCACTTGGACCTGATAGATATCTACAGAACTCTCCACCCAAATTCAGCATAATATACGTTCTTCTCATTGCTGCTCGGCACTTACTGTAAAATGGATCACATAATAGGAAGTAAAACACTTCTCAGCAAATGCAGAAGAGTTGAAATCATAACAGTCTCTTAGACCACAGAGCAGTCAAATTCGAACTCAAGATTAAGAACTTCACTCAAAACCACACAGCTACATGGAAATTGAACAACCTGCTCCTGAGTGACTCTTGGTTAAATAACGAAATTAATGAGAACATAGAGACAACGTACCGGAATCTCTGGGATGCAGCTAAAGCAATGTTAAGAGGGAAATTTATAGCACTAAATGCTAGAAAGATCTCAGGTTAACCACCTGACATCTCTGGTAAAAGAACTAGAGAACCAAGAGCAAAATAAAACCCCAAAGCTAGCAGAACACAAGAAATAACCAAGATCAGAGCTGAAGTGAAGGAGATAGAGACACAAAAAACCCTTTAAAAAAAATCATCAAATCCAGGAGTTGTTTTTTTGAAAAAAATTAATAGACCACTAGCTACCCTAGTAAAGAAGAGAGAAGAATCAAATAAAAACAATCAGAAATGATAAGCGGGTTATCACCACTCACCTCACAGAAATATAAGTAACCATCAGAGAATACGATGAGCACCTCTATGCACATAAACTAGAAAATCTAGATGAAATTGATAAATTCTTATACACATATACCTTCCCAGGACTGAACCAGGAAGAAATTGAATCCTTGAATAGACCAATAATGAGTTCTGAAATTAAGGCTATAATAAATAGTTTACCGATCAAACAAACAAAATCCAGAACCAGACGGATTCACAGCTGAATTCTACCAGAGGTACAAAGAAGAGCTGGCACTGTTTCTGCTGAAACTATTCCAAAATATTGAAAAGGAAGGACACCTTTCTAACTTGTTCTATGAGGCCAGTGTCATCTTGATACCAAAACCTGATAGACAGAACAAAAAGAGAAAACTTCAGGCCGATATCCTTGATGAACATTGATGCAAAAATCCTCACTAAAATACTGGCAAACCAAATCCAGCAGCAGATCAAAAAGCTTATCCACCATGATGTAGTTGACTTTATCCCTGGGAACCAACTTCAGCAAAGTCTCAGGATATAAAATTTAGTATTCCTATACACCAACAACAGGAGAGAGAATCACAAATAAACTCCCATTCACAATTGCTACAAAAAGAATAAAATACCTGGTAATACAGCTAACAAGGGAAGTGAAGGACCTCTTCAAGGAGAACTAAAAACTACTGCTCAAAGAAATCAGAGAGGACACAAACAAATGGAGAACCATTCCATGCTCATGGATAGGAAGAATCAATATTGTGAAAATGGCCGTATGACCCAAAGTAATTTATAGATTCAATGCTGTTCCCATTAAACTACCATTGACATTCCTCACAGAATTAGAAAAAAACTATTTTAAAATGCATACAGAACCCAAAAGAGCCTGAATAGCCAAGACAAGCCTAACCAAAAAGGGCAAAGCTGGAGGCATCACGCTACCTGACTTCAAACTATACTACAAGACTGCCATAACCAAAACAGCATGGTACTCATACAAGAACAGAAACATAGACCAATGGAACAGAATAGAGAACTCAGAAATAAGATGACACATCTACAACCATCTGATCTTTTACCAACTTGACAAAAATAATCTATAGGGAAAGGACTCACTGTTTAATTAACAGTGCTGGGATAACTGACTGAGCCACATACAGAAAATTGAAACTGGATCCCTTCATTACACTATCTACAAAAATTAACTCAAGATGGATTAAAGACTTAAATGTAAACCCAAAAGTATAAAAACCCTAGAAGAAAATCTAGGCAATGCCATTCAGAACACAGGCATGGGTAAAAACTTCATGATGAAAACACCAAAAGCAATTGCAGCAAAAGCAAAAACTGACAAATGGGATCTAATTAAAGAGCCTCTGCACAGCAAAATAAACTATCATCAGAGTAAACAACCTACAGAATAGGAGAAAATTTTTACTATCTATTCATCTGACAGAGATCTAATATCCAGTCTACAAGGAACTTAAACAAATTTACAGGAAAAAAAAAGCAAACAATCCCATTAAAAAGTAGGCAAAAGACATGAACAGACACTTCTCAAAAGAGGACATGTGGCTGGGCACGGTGGCTCACACCTGTAATCCCAGCACTTTGGGAGGCTGAGGCAGGCAGATCACGAGGTCAGGAGATTGAGACCATCCTGGCTAACACAGTGAAACCCCATCTCAAAAAAAGAAAAAAAAAAAATTAGCCGGGCGTGGTGGCAGGCGCCTGTAATCCCAACTACTCCGGAGGCTGAGGCAGAAGCAGTGGCAGGAACCTGGAAGGCGGAGCTTGCAGTGAGTGGAGATCATGACACTGCACTCTAGCCTGGGCAATAGAGCGAGACTCTATCTCAAAAAAAAAAAAAAAAAAAAGGGGGGGGATATATATGCAGCCAACAAACATATGAAGAAAAGTTCAACATCATTGATCATTAGAGAAATGCAAATCAAAACCACAATGAGATACTGTCATGCCAATCAGAATAGCTGTTATTAAAAAGTCAAAAACAAATGCTGGCGAGGTTGCAGAGAAACAAGAACACTTTTACACTGTTGGCGGGAGTGTAAATTAGTACAACAATTGTGAAAGACAGTGTGGTGATTCCTCAAAGACCTAGAGGCAGAAATACTATTTGACCCAGCAATCCCATCATTGAATCTACCCAAAGGAATAGAAATCATTCTATTATAAAGATACCTACATGCATATGTTCACTACAGCACTATTCACAATAGCAAAGACATGGAATCAACCTAAATGCTTATCAGTGATAGACTGAGTAAAGAAAATGTGGTATATATACATCATGGAATACTATGCAGCCATAAAAAGGAACTGGATCATGTCTTTTGCAGGGACATGGATGGAGTTGGAGGCCATTATCCTCAGCAAACGAACACGGGAACAGAAAACCAAATACTGCATGTTCTCACTTATAAGGCGGAGCTGAATGATGAGAACACAGGGTCACATGGCAGGGAAGGACACACACTGGGGACTGTGGGGGGTGGGGGAGGGGGAAGGAGAGCATCAGGAAGAATCGCTAATGGATGCTGGGCTTAATACCTAGGTGATGAGATGATCTGTGCAGCCACCCCTCATGGCACATGTTTACCTGTGTAACAAGCCTACACATCCTGCACATGTACCCCCAAACTTAAACATTGGAGGAAAAAAAAGTAAAAAGATATTTCTTTTGATATTATATATAACATGCATGCACTGTTGGTTAGTATTCCTGTTGTCTGATAATCTGCAGGTGTCTGTGGTTAACATTGCATCGCAGTGGGACTTGAGAAGTGGTGGTAGCCAGTAAGCTGACTTTTCTCACCCGTAAAAATACATGTGTTTTATTGTTGATAACCATGTGTGTACACAACAATGGGGAGGCCAGGGTGGGCACTCCAGGAGGGACATGCTGCCTGCTGTTCCGTATTGACAATGCTGATCCTGTGTGTGGCCATGCAGCGCAGTTCTGCCTTCTCATTACTGCGCAGGTGGCTGTCAGTTCTTTAAATTCACTTCAAGCAGAAAAAGCCCAGGACCCCAGAACAGGAACATCACATCCCTATTTGTATAAACCTGAAGCAAGACAAGCATCGGGAGGAAAATTTCCACTTTACCTTTTTTCTATTAACAAAGACTCTTAAATAAAATCTCTTTAGTGCAAGTTGGCATGAGCAGACTTGGTAACTTGTCTTTAAAGGAGATGTTTAAATCAGAACTTTCTAAAACTGGAAAACAACAGATTGACAAATCAATTTGGCATTCACTAGATGAAGAAGGTGCTGTATTATTCACAGGGATAATAACTCAGAATGAATAAGGCTAAAAAGATACATTTATAAAAATATTACAGTTTTATATATTAAGCCTAAATTGGATGTTTTGATGTGTAATATGGGATAAAATCGCATACTGTTCAGTGCCTGAAAATGACAGAGAAACTAAATACAGTTGTGTCTTGGTATATGTGGGGGATTGGTCCCAAGACCCCCAAGGATGCCAAAATCCATGCATGCTCAAGTCCTGCAGTCAGCCTGCGGAGCCCACGTATTTGAAAAGTTGGCCCTTTATATTCGGGTTTTACATCCCGTGAACACTGTATTTTTCCATCTGCATTTGGTTGGAAAAAAATCCACATATAAGTGAACCCATACAATTCAAACCTGTATTGTCAGGAGTCAGCTGTACTCTCATTTGGTCTGACCTCCCAGTTAACAACAGCCACAAATGATTTTATTAAAGACTCATCTGAGAATATCCTCTGGAAAGGTAAGTTTACATCATAGAAATGCACATATTTTCTATTCCTTTTATTCCAAGGTAACAGCTACTTGGAATAAAAGTGGACTAGGATAGTGACACGGTGAGTAAAAGCTTCAGCAGGTCCACGCGGCAGTCAGCACCCCCACCCCGGGGGAAGCAAATGCCACCATCCTCCCGGGGAGCACAGGAGTCTTTCTGATTTACGGTGGGGTCGTTCTTATTGCAAATAGGCATGTTAGCCGTTTTTAATATCCAAGAAGAGTCAGTGAAGTTGTTATTGATGGGTTTGCTGTTGGCTTTCCTGTTTCTGTTTCCGTAAGCCTTTACTTGCCACAGGAGGTGCTCTTCTGTGAGAAGCAGCTCTTGTGGTCTTAGGACGGTGTGGAGTCGTTCAGTCAGCGGGCATGTTCTGCCTTTTTGTGGGTGGCAGAACTTGGTGGCTGGGAGGGGACTGTCTCGACCCCCTCGCCGAGTGGGTCAGGGGATGGGATGTGGCAAAAGCACTGTCTGCTGTTGTTGGAGCCTGGACCGTTCAGATCTTCCTCGCTCTTCACGCTCTCTCCTCATCTCCGGCATCTACTCCACACCCAGGATGCTCAGCCTGCCCTTTGCTGTCTCTTGTTACTCTGTCCCTCTTTCCTCTTCTCACTTTTGTTGTGTCTTTTGATTCCACAGAGTATTAGTAGGGTCTCATATTGTGGGTTCTGATTTACTCTCAACTAGGATTTGAGGACACAGGTTTTCTGTGGGTTGCTGAAAGTGTATGATGACCCCAGCTCAGCCCAGCTGTGGGTACTCGTGCTCTGAAAACCCCTAAACTGTTTGCTCTGTGCAGTTTGTGCCGAACATGATCACCTGTCTGGCCCTAAGACCTGGTCTTGGTTGGCACCTCATGATTATTCCCAGATGTTCTGGAGAGTTCTACCTCATTAGAGTCTAACCGGACTAGAAATTCAGGCTCCTCTTCCAGCTGGGCTGTGAGTTGTGGGCACAACTGGGGACACCATAGAGAGAGCTTCACAGCCAGGAGCCAAGGATGGTGTGGAGAGGTTGTGCTCTTTCCACTACACACTGTTCGCTGCCTGAGGTCTGATGCACCATGTGCGTGCCTGCGCATGCGCCTGTTTGTGCACCTGTGCGTGCACATGCGTGCCCGTGTGTGTGCATGCCTGTGCACCTCTGTGTGCTTGTGTGCACATGTATGTGCCTGTGCGTGTGCCTGTACGTGCATGTGTGTGCGTGTTTGCACCTATACACACACTCATAGTAACTGAGATCAATTTGTAAGAAATGTTTAATTTTTCCTGTAGCCTAACACTGGCCTTTCTCTGTCCTTTTCAGGTGGACACTCTTTGCCTGGAGGATTTGCATGCGTTTATTGCGCAGGCCTTGTGCCTCCAAGGAAAATCCACCTCGCAGCTTGTAAATCTACAGGTACAGACATGACCGATTAGTTGTCACTGCCCGGAAGACAGCTGTGCAGTCCAGCCTTCTCTTCCCCGTTGTAGTTGAAGTTTCACGGAAAAGATCAGGAAGGCATTTTAGGATCTTTTCGTGATGCAGTAGTTTGTCTCTTTAAGGGCTCTGGGATGAGCAGCCAGATGAGGTACTAACAGGCGCTGCCTCAATTCCAGTTTTGTGAAACTTGTTCTCAGTACTGCCTTGATAGTCTCATGATTGAAGAAAGCACTTATTAAACATAGTGTTTGGTTTGGTTTTTCGAGACGGAGTCTCCCCTGTCTCCCAGACTAGAGTGCAGTGGCGTGAACTCAGCTCATGCAACCCCAGCCTCCTGAGTAGCTGGGATTACAGGCAGGCACCACCACACCCGGCTAATTTTTGTTTTTGTATTTTCAGTAGAAACGGGGTTTCACCATGTTGGCCAGACTGGTCTAGAACTCCTGACCTTCAGTGATGCGCCTGCATCAGTCTCCCACAGTGCTGAGATTAAAATTGTGAGCTACTGTGCCCAGCCAAAACATACTTTTTTTAAAATGTGATTTTGTGGGGTTTGTTGTTGTTGTTGTTTTTGAGATGGAGTCTTGCTCTGTTGCCCAGGCTGGAGTGCAATGGTGCAGTCTCGGCTCACTGCAACCTCTGCCTCCTGGGTTCAAGCAATTCTCCTGCGTCAGCCTCCCAAGTAGCTGAGATTACAGGCGCCCGCCACCACACCCAGCTAATTTTTGTATTTTTAGTAGAGATGGGGTTTCACCCTGTTGGCCAGGCTGGTCTGGAACTCCTGACTAAAAAATGTATTTTGCTGGGATCTCTATTATGTGAGTTAAAGCATCCGTCTTTTAACTCGTGGGTTTAATAGTCTGTAAATCTTCATCAACTCCATGTGCTGCGTGTGCGTTTTAAACTTTTGAACTTTAATAATTTAAGTTGTAAAAATCCCAGGAATAATTTGGAAGATCACTTAAAATGAGTCAACTTGACCATTTCCTACAGATTTACAGCGCCCTCTCAGCCCTGGGACCCCGCCTCCACACCTGCCTGGGGAGTTTGTTGCATGAACCGTCCCTCCAGCTCCCTGTCTTCTCTACCTCCTCTCTCTAACTTCATTATTTTCACTGGCTATGGTCGCTTGCTGAAAAACTCAGGTGTCTCTCATTTGGGGGAAAAAAATTCTCCTACAGCAAGGTTTCTATTCCCTCTGTTTCCCTATTCCCTCTGTTTCCCTTCTCTGGCAGGCTCTGGGACGTGGCTGCATGCTGGTGATTTGTGCTGCATTTCCTCTTGTTCAGTCACTGAGAGAGATGCCTGCCCCTTCCATTGCATGAAGTCAATGAAGCAAAGGCTGAAAAATGCCCACTTCCATATCCAGGGGCCCTGAGTCTCCTCCACCTTCTCCGACCTCTCCTCCTTTGAGCCTGTGATGTCCCTTTCATTTATCTTTGTTCAGCAGCGCCTTTCACACCGTGGGTCTTGTTCTGAATCCACATGCCAAGTCACTATCCCAGAGAGTCCTGGCCAGGTTGGTCTGCAGTGTGTTCTGAGAGGGGCTCGTGGGCGAGAAACCAGAGTGTCCCACTTAGGGTTTTCAGTTTCCCTCCTCTCCTAGACTAACACCCTTTGAGAAAAGGGGCAGTGTTCTTGCTCCTCTTTATTTTCCAGTACCCAGCATCCTGCCAACATTGATTAACTTGATTAAATTAATACCTGCAATTTAAAAGTATGCATGAGCATTTGCTGAGACAGGCAGAGTCTCTCTGGTTGTGCAATACAAAGCAGGTGTCCAGACAAAGCCCCATCTTTGCAGAACTCCCCTGACACCTCTCTGGGGTTCCCTACAATTCTAGTCTCAAGAGCTCATGGGGGCACTTGGGACATGGTTGCCTGGGGGCCCTTCTGAGGCTGGTGCTGCTGAAACACAGATACTGGCATGCCTGTCCTTCCTCCCCACAATCATCCTCTTCAGATAACTGGTGGCGTTTTCATTTCTCACCTCTGTTACCTGGAAATGTTATGAGCTTGTAGATTACAATGGTGAGACCTACAGTTGGTGAAGCTAAAAACCCTTTCGTACATATGCATGTAGATGATCATGGAATGATTTTCTGATGCGCTGGATTGGCTCCTGGGTTGAAAAGCAAAGCTAGGGCTCTGGAGTTTACAACATCAGAACGAGGGGAGGAGAGGATGGGGCAGAGTGCGGAAAAGGAGGGAGGAGAGGGTGTGGTGTGCCTGGGCACGTACTCCTGAAACCCCCAGTCAGGCTGAGCCCTAGGCCATTTCCTCTCTCCTGCAGCCCCCTCCTGGCACTTTACCCTTGTGGAATTGAATACGTATTTGTGTGTGTGTGAAGCTGGTCAGACTTTGAGCCCACTTGGATTTTCTGAGACCAAAATGTCATAAACCAAGGCGAATGCGAGGTTTATGTCTGAACCCGGAGGACGAGGATTCATGCCGGCTGTGGGAATTTCTCAAGATGGTGGGCAGAAAAGAGTCTAGGTTCATCTGCTGCTTGGTCTGCAGGGTTCCTTCCTGCCTTAGTAGGGATGACATCTGTGGTCTATGTCGTGCATTCTTGGCTGTTGGAAACAAAGTTGTGTCTTGGACTTCACCCTTTGGTTTTGGCCCTTATTCTCAAATAATGTCCACCTGAAGAAAGAGGTTGTAGGCAGTGCTTTTGATGATAGCAGATACTGAACCATGAAACCATGGAGGAGAGAATTACCAAGGAAAAAGGTCCAGATGTTTTCTGTTCATGAACTGGATATGTCCTTCTGAGGGAATTCAAATCAAAGAGTTGGCAAAACTGGGCGGTGGCAGTGGCAGAGCGGCTTGAGCACAGGGCCTCTGACACCACCCCCCGCAAGGCTGCCTGGAGCAGGGCTCTGTTGGAATCATGGAAGGAACACACACCCTTTTTGAGCCTATCAGAATTGCAAAGCCTGGCCAGTTGGTGCAAGTGTTTATCCGCCTGCCATCACCATCGGGTGGGGTGGTCTGTAACAGACTCAGCAGGTGTTGGTAAAAGGACCCTTGACCGGAAACACAAAGGGGACAGAGCAGGAGCTCCTCACGATTATAACAGCAGTGAGCTGCTTCTTGTTCTCAGTAGGAGAATGCTTGGAGCCTAAGTCTTGTATGGAAAAATAGATAAATAAGCAAAGTGTAGACTCAGTGGCATTCTGTCATTTAGTGGCATGTTGCACATCCAGACTCTGCGGCTGTTGGGAGGTGGCACTAACTCGCTGTTCTTGGGAGTTAGATTCTGCTGCCTGAAAGATGAAAGGGGAGCAAAGACCTCCCCAGTTATCCTTGTGAGACGAGAGCTTGGTGTGTGGGGAGCTGAGAGCTGGGAATCATGGGTGGTGAAAGCTGTTAGGTTCCGGCCAATTGCCTTGGCAGAGCCTCGCTGGCTCCTGGGAAAGAGTAGGAATCTCTCCATTGCATCGGGGAACGGGGGATGGCCGGGAAGGGGAATGGTAAGTGGGGAGGGGCAGGCAGCTGAGTCTACTTGGCTGGACCTGTGCTCTGAGGGGCAGGTGCCAGGGGCATGAGGGAGAGTGGCGTGTGGACGCACCTGAATGGGGTGCCCCTGGTGGCCCACACCTGTCAGGGGCCAGTGTCACCCACAGGAGGGGAAGCGTCACTTGGGAGGTGGGGGGTGGAATTGAGAGAGCTCAGGGCCCGCATGGTCTCTGGTGTGGGGTGAGTGGGAGTTGAGCAGAGCCAGCCACAAGGCTTAGAGGGCGAAAGACTAGGTGAATGCAGCTGTTGAGAAGAACACGTGACAGTTTCCAACAAATGAGTACTTTGTCGGCATGAGTACACAAAATGAGCAGTGTTGTGGGCCTTGATCTTCCCTTAGTCCTGTTGATTATGGCCTCAGGTCAGGACACACATACTCACCACCCTGCCCAGCCTCAGATAAGCTCACGTTATTTTTTAGATTTTTTTTTCTCCTTCTTGTTGCCATATTCATATTCAGGACTTTGATGAGAGAAGAATGAGGCAGAAGATGCTCATTGCAGCTGAGCCCACACTGCTTTGATCCTTTTCTTCTCACCAGAAACAGTTCATTAACCTAGAATAAGTCACTTTTAAGCTTGTTTTAAATTGTGACAATTCTGATTTATACAAATTTTTATTTTTAGGTTATAGAGAAGCTATAAAACTCACCAGTAGAAGTTGAAAATAAAATAATTCTATGCCATTGAATCTCCAAATGATATTTTTATTTTGCTACAAATTAATGAAACTTTAAATGATAATGATACTCTCGCTTTATCAAAAACTTCAACCAGGGATTACCAGACTATCATCCATAGGCCACATTCCGCCACCAGCATGTAGTGAGTCCTGTGAGCTAAGAATGGTGTTTGTTTCTAAATGGTTAGGAAAAAATCAAAAGAATCTTATTCCATGATGTGAAAATTACATGAAACGCACATTTCCGTGTCCAAAATGGTTGTCTTGGCACATAGCCATGCTCAGTCATTTACAGCTACCTTTGCCCTGCAACAGCAGAGTTGAACGGCTGCGAGGGACATCATATGGCCCCCAAAGCCAAAAGTGTTTCCATCCGGCTCTTTCCAGAAGAGCGTGCTGACCCTTGGCTGGAGCCAGCAGGTCAGTCTGCGGGGAGAGGTGGGATGGGGAGCCCCATGCTTTTGTCTCCGTGCTCCTCCTGCAGCCAGGTCTGCACGCACACACAGTGACAGTGATAACCCCACGCATGAATGTGGCAGGTTTTAAAGACATTAGAGGGCTTCGGTAGTTAGTTTTCATGTCATTCCTTTGAGGTAATTAAGTTCTATCTTATTCTTAGAAAAATTAAGATACAAAGAATTTTGTGTCTTGGCCTTGGTCCTTATAAAGGAGCTGAAGTGAGGATGTAAATTCGCTGACTCTTGGTTCCACCTCCACCTCATTCGCCTACACAAAGACCCTCGCCGTGATAAAACCTGGATTTGGGAGTCTTA